ATTTGAGTTTTGACAGTTTCGTGTAAAGCATGGTGTCAAACCTCAAATACGGCCTACCTAGACCATAAACAGGAACCTTGGTTTTTGTTATGGTCTAGTGGAAAGTACGCTGTATTTCGTTCAACAGAAACTTCTATACACTCGTACCTGATGTGCCCCTCCATACCCTGACATCCATCCTTCTCAGCACCACATGTATCTGAAAACTGCTAGAATCTTTGCGCAATATGGCACCGAGACTACCAACCTCAAAACTACACCTTATTAACAATTTGATACAAAGCCAATCACTAACCAGTTTTCAAATGGCAGAGGCTGCAGAATGCAGCGAACAGACGATCAAAAATATCTGCAGAAACCTACGACTGTTTGGACACGTCCATGCCCCTTCAACTCGTATCGGTCGGAGACGAAGTATAACACCACCAATGCTAGAAGCACTCTGTGACCATCTGTTGGAAAAGCCAGGCCGATACCTTGAGGAGATGGCTATATTCCTACGGGATGAATTCCGGATGCTAGCATCAACCTCTAGCATTAGGAGGGCCCTCGTATCCAAAGGATGGTCCAAAAAGACTGTCCGACAGAAGGCTAAAGAGCAGAATGCCGAATTACGAGAAATTTACCTTCATAAACTCTCCGAATTTGAGTCGTACCACCTTGTTTATGTTGATGAGTCTGGATGCGATAAACGCATCGGGTTCCGACGAACAGGCTGGTCACCACTCGGTGTAGCACCTCGACAAGTGTCTTAATTTCACCGTGACGAGCGTTATCAAATCCTGCCTGCGTATACCCAAAATGGTATTTTGATGACTCGGGTCTTTCGCGGCTCGACGGATGCCGCTGTGTTTGAAGACTTCGTCGATGAACTCCTTTGTCATAGCGGGAGATGACCGGAGCCGAAGTCTGTTCTGGTTATGGATAATGCATCGTTCCATCACTCCGAGCGGATTTCACAAATGTGTGCTGATGCGGGAGTCAAATTGGTTTATTTGCCTCCGTACTCGCCGGACCTATACCCAATTGAAGAGTTTTTTGCTGAACTCAAAGGCTTTATACGACGCAATTGGAGCTACTACGCAGAAGATCCGGATCGTGAATTCGCCTCCTTTCTCGAGCGGTGTATCAATCACGTTGGTGAGAAGCTAACGCTAGAGGCCATTTTCGGCACGCAGGCTTGACTATTGAAGAATCGGACAATTGAAATCCAGTCTTGAGCCTGTAAAGCTGCATGCTACTGTGTCTCGAGTTCATAACATCCTGTGCCACGGACAAACAATATTCCAGTCAATCCATATCACTACCAGTAGAGCCACTAGTGCCAGCCTGCCAGGAGCGAAACACTATCCTCATCCTAGGACAACTCCCTTGAGTTGCACCAGGCGGGGCGGTTCCACGAGCGGGCCCGGTTCCATGCGTGGGGCCAGCTCCATGAGGGGGAGCTATTTCACGAGAAGAGACGCCTGTACCAGTAGCGTGGCTTCGAGCACTGTCATCTGCACGGCTTTCTCTTTTGCTCTATTCTCTTTCCTGTCTCCACTGCTTCTTCTCCCTTCTCATCTACCTTCGCCTGTTTGAGTCCTCATTATCTGGTCGCGAAAGAAAGACTGAGCCGCCGCCGACTCGCCCTTGAAGGAATGTACCAAGTCCTTTGGCTGCGTAAAGATGGGGTCGACAGGCGAACAGTGACGTGTAACTGGGCTTGGGTCGTGGGTACTTGTAGTGGATGAAGGACATTGCAAGAATCATTCAGTAAATGGAGATATTTCGCTATATATATAGTAACACTTCATTATCCAATTCCCGCCCACATAAACATTTGCTCCGCTTAAGTCAACTTGCCCCAAGCACGATGCCGAAAACTTGTATCGTGCTTGCTATGATAGACTAGTCAACCAAAGGAATGGTTTCAGCTATACGTGGTTCCAAAATGTGACCTGTAGGGCCCTTTTTTACGGGTAGATTTCACGAGCGCTTAAAAATAGTGTGATCTTCATGCCCGCAGTCTTCGCTCGCCCTGGTCATGCGTTAGTGCGAGACCAGTGCCTTTAACAGCGAGCAATTAGAACCTATCACTACGTACGCACGGACACTTTGGCGTGCGCCGCGCTGTTGATTCCCCTGTATTTATAGGAGTGAGATGTGCCACGCTCTTTGCGAAAACCTTTTCATCTTAACACGAAAGCGGTAGATGCTCAACATCTCGAATAAACCACCACCCAACAGACAACTAGTGCATAAAGAGAAATAAAGAGGGGGGGAGGGATTTGCTTTGTACGAACTCCAATAATCTAATCTGCAATTCGTTCCAACCGTGAGAGATCTAATAAGTCACGCGTAGCTCCATTTTCGCCCCAATTCTGCTGAACCCAGTCTCGATTCAATATGTCCAGATCCAACCCCGGACATTTTCAATTATGGGATACCGCTGGAGCTGTTAAGAATGTCGCAATGGGTCAAGCCCAGTTCCTTGATTTCCGAGAAAAAGACGCTATTGGGACCAAAGATCTTGGGTCATGCTCTGTCGTGGTCATTGCATCTGCGCATGGTGCAATACTCGCACACATTCCTCCACATCCACAAGCAACGATTAACCCAACAAGTGGTGATGCCAATGTTCAACTTATGATGAACCAGGTCGGCACGCTATATCGGGATAAACGACAATTTTTCCCTTCTGCCGAAACGATCGTTATATGTGCAGTATTCCAAGGACAAGTTGCCCTGCCAAGCCAGCTCGATATCATGCAAATGAGTCTAATTGGACTTGGGCTGACCACTAAAATAATTTCCTACGAGGTGCCCGGAAACTCTACAATTGTGGGGAAGGGGACAGTCATTGTGATTAAAAAGCGTGATTATGTGAAGCCAAAGATCCTGGTGGAGGATCGTCACGTGAATTTATGATCTGCTAACCTAAACAAATGAGGTGTAAATAGACTTTTTACCTACATGAAACTAGATGATTTCATTCGAGTGTTATACTATAAAATAAAATTAGCGGATATGGTTAGTATCCAATGAAATATTGCGTGGCCGATCGTCGCAATTTGTGCGGAGTTTATGGATCCTAAGTGTGGGGCTTGGCAGGTGGCAAGAGGAAGGCGGTGTGCAGAGCGAGTGGAATGCTTCCACCCCCTTCGACAGCCAGTCCATTCTCTGTTATATCGCTCTTCAGAGGCTGCTCACTCCCTGCACCCAAGTATTCGACGATGTCTGCTCATCAAACCCCTGCTGGACATATCAGTCGGTTTGGAACCCCCCCTTCGATCCCAGCAAAGACGCTCCTGTTAGTTCACCAGGTACCCGAGCTTGGCGAGCAACAGTTGCGAGAATTTCTTGATCGCAGTGTCCGTGATGGTTGTGATATTCGTCATTTCTACGAGGTTATGATTGATGCTATCTGGTCAAACAAGGTATATCTCGTGAAGGAGCTACTCCGATGTAATATACCTATATCGTCAATCTATGTACTCGAAGCTGTCAAGGGAAAGGCGAAAGATATCCTGACAGCATTCTTCGATAACGGCTGGGATATTAACGCGCCAATGGGTGGCATGGACCCCCCAATTCTTGCGTGAGAAAACCTGTCTTCTTCTAAAAGTTCCCTGCTAAATAAAATTTGTTTCATTCTAGCAACGCTCTCGAGGACCTGGATATGACAACATGGCTCCTTGATCGTGGCGCAGATCCGAATACGCGATGTCATATCGATGTTACCCCGCTCTCCTATGCTGTCAAATATGCCGATTTGCCAATCATTGATCTTCTCCTACGCCGTGGTGGTGATGTCAGAATAGGCCAGCTTGTGCATAATGCGATTTATAGAGAGTTCGACACCCTCCAAGTTGTTGAAATCCTCATTGATCGGGGTGCTTCTCTTGATTCCCTTATGTACCACGACCATCTATATTCTTGGAACATGTTTCCCTTTATGAGGGAAACTCCCCTACACACGGCAGTGGCTCTCAAAAGACATGACGTTATTCGTTATCTGATTCACAAAGGAGCAAACGTGAACATTAAAAACTACGGGGGCCAAACAGTCATTCAATCTGCAGGTGAAGACACCAAAAGAGTGATTATGCAAGAGATTCAGAAGAGCAGCACGTTACACGCATCTTTGTGATACGTTTTTCCTTTAAGCAAACATTGATCACACGTTGGAATTAGACGTTTCCTACCAACAAAATTTTTGGTGAGTATGTCTATCCACTCATCCTCTTCTTCTTCCTTCTTCACCTTGTCTTTTCGTTGCCTCCCACGATTGTGTAGGAGTTGGGCCCGTTGTTACTTAGTTGGTGATCGAATTGCCAATGTATGCGCTTTTCGCCAAATGGCATCATAAATGTGTGTACTGATTTCAATTACAGACATTATCTGTATGAGACATACCTGGCTAGCTTCATACAGTGCCGACCGTTATTGCCTTCTATATCTGGAAACAGAGATATGCTCTTTCAAATCCTAATCACATGATACGCTAAACCTTATATAGAAAGGTCCGTATTTAAAGACTTGTTCCAGGTTTACACAGTAACAAGGATGAAAGTATAAAACTGTATAGTTATGTACCGCTAAATGTCCGAAAACAACTGACGGATTGACGGATACTGGTATGTGCTAGTATTGGGGTATTCCCATGAGATGCGTACTATTCTGGATCTCGCTGTTAAAGCGTTGTTAGATCTCAGGAGTCGTTCCTAGCGTGTTACAACGCTGGTATTCCGAGTATTCCCCATTTACCATACCAAGACAAAGAGAGAATGGGTACTTGATGAATAACCATGTCCTTGGTAGTAAAATATCACCCCCCAGTTTGTCAACAACCCTTGATCCATATACAAAAATATTTACCCCATTCACCATGGGGTCGCTCGTTCACCCTCCTTCCAATCTGGTGACTGCATCACCCAATGCCTTGCTAAATGGTTGGAAACATCGATTCCTGACAGAGTAGAGGATGCCAAGGCTGTTCACGGTATTGAGAATGGATGTACCGTCTGGACCCAGGGCCTTCTCTCTGCCTGCCAGTGCTCGCTGGTACATCTCCTCTGCCTCCTTCAGCTTGCCCTGGTCGTATTAGAGAAGACCAAGGTTGTAGACTGTATCGACAGCGGAAGTTGTGCTGGTTGTGAGAAGAGCTTCGTGGGCGAGGCCGTGGAAGACATAGTCGCAGGCGGGTTTCAAAAAAGTATAGCTCTCGTGCAACTTCTTCAGTGCATTCGACGGAAATATATGACCCAGTCCGCGTTTTGATGAGGACACGGCATAGGCGATCATTTCCGTGCCACATGTACTTGCCAACAAGTTTTGGCCATTATAAGGGCGGACATACAGGCAGTGCTGGTTGATGTGCACATATTTCCCAGGCCAAGCAGAGCGATAGCATCGTGCTCCACACCAACCAAGACAAACAGTGCAATTGTTACCAAAACCGAGGCCAGTGTTACTAAATTCAGGGGCCAAATATGCGCAGAGTGATGTTTTGTATGTCCTCCGGTCGGCGAACTGAAGCATCGGGTGTCTTGTGGGCTATTTTGAAGGTCTGGACCTCAAAAGACTTCAATGAGTCGATATCATGAACCACATCAGCAAAAAAAGGGAGTTCATCCATTTTTATGCCCGACATAAGATTCATGACGGTGGCGTCTGGGGACGAGGGCAGCTCGGACGGCCGCTTGATGTTTAACATGGTCTCGGGGGCAGGCAAGAGACGGGGAAAGGCCCCAATTCGTGAACCTGTGATAGCATATGCATATTTCTCGATTGACGAACCTCCGATTACCGCCAGTTAACCGACGATATCAAAGCTCCAAGTGGGTACAGCTTTGTCAACGTCGAGCGGAAACCAGACCATCTTGCTCTCCCTCTTGCCCCGAAGGGAACAAGGATATACAATTGTTGGAGATGCTAGAGATCTACGATGAATGTAGATGTAACTGGAAATCTCTTGATACGTTGAGAGAGAGAGAAACTATCTACATGCTATGACTGAGACTAAGTACTGGGAGCAAACAGTGGTGGTCACGCGACCTTCCAACAATAGTACTCAGGTGTTACGGACCTATCCGTCACCAACCAGTAGTGACCTACAAGGCACACCGATGGGCCACCGAGAGCCAACCAATC